TAGGGTGAGGGAATGCAAAACATGTTTGCAAATTACTGCCATTTTAAAGCTCTGCAGCCTAAAGTAATTACTAGTCCTTGCCAAGTCAACCTGTTGTTGAATGGCTTTTCAAAATATGAGTAATTTCCATTGATTCAATGAGTCTCGTTGGAAGTAAATAGTTGGATATTGCCTTGCATTTCTCACCTTCTGTTTGTTTAGACTGTATTTGTGCTAGCTGATTCTTTAGCAGATAACTCCAAGGTCATGTTTGCAAGGAGGAGTTAAACAGATTTGGAAGTATACACACAGCAGACTACCTTCGTTCCAGTAATTCAGCAGGAGCCAGAAACTTAAACCTGTAGTGAATCCTGGTTCTCATGAGTTGCAGAATGTCAGGCAGAATTTCAACCCATGTGCATTACTGTCCTTTACCAAAGGAAAACAATTTTGTTCAATAGCCATGATCAGGCAAATCTTCCTTCCACCCATCAGTAAAGGTTACTAAATCAGTTTAGCTTACATCTAAAAGCAATCACACTTACATGCCAGCTATGGCCTTGGTCTCATTTCCACAGGGCCTAAGGCTTGAGATGAAATCAACTATATATTGACACCATCTGTTAAACTCCTAATTCATATTTACAAAAACACTTTGGTCTTCTTCCATACTTGGCCATTCCTGTCATTTTCACACTTCTAATCATAGCACACTTGATGTCTGTGTAATTATATTTTTTAGGGGGAGTCGGGTGGGAACCAGTGATGGCCATGACTCAGGTTGAAACTTCCCAATGGCTAAGCTAAAACCTGGGGGTGGATCATGACCGTATTTGTCTGAACATTATAAGTCAATGCTCATTTATCCTCCCTTCTTCTAACACATAATTATATCAAAATGAACTCCTTTTGAGGCCAGGGGGAACTATTCTAAGTAAAGGGTTTGAAGAGCATGATCCAGTAAATAATTTCTACCTCAATGGTTTGGCAGACCAATTCTGAGAAACATTAGGTAGGAACTGAAAGGAGGAAGTTATTCTTCTACCAAGTAACTAACGATCAGGTTGGATGTGTGGGGAAAAAAGAACATGCAATGTTGAGTAGTTCTGTACAGCCAGGCTACTTTTGGGGCAGCCTCTCTTCAGAATGCTGATGGATATTAGATAATGATGGTTCAGCTGGTTCCCCTCGTGCTCAGTTTTTTTGCTAGTCTGATGTAGCTACATTTCCACCTTTTTTGCTTACACAGACCACAAAATTCTGTGCCGGGGGGATGTTTTATCAGTTGATCTGGCCCACATAGGTTTCAGTAATTGCCAAGTACAATCCATGACTGGAATTAGAATGCTTCAGGCAAAGTCTTGGAAGAAAATTAAAGAAGGACTTAGTTCCCCATTGGACTACCTCTACCCCCTCTCTATAAGATCACTTCCATCCATCATTTCCCTGCCAACTGATTATTCGACCTTCAGAGGCTAGTTGACAGTTAGAAAAGAGTCTCTAGTTTCCTCCAAATATATCCAGAAAATGCATCCTTGTTAAATATGTCATATTGTGTGCTGTACAATTCCATAACTGAAACAAAAAACAGATTTAGACCCACATTTACCATTCTTAGTTGTATGAAACAACATTTTCCCTATGTTGTGATGTTAAAAGTTTTTGCCCTTTGTGAATTAGTTTTCACTTCCGTTGTATCTTACCTTTCCTTAAAGAGGCTCAAGATAGCATACTGGGTAGGTTAGACAGAAAATGTCGTAGAATCATTTCTGATTCTGCATTTTTTTCATAGAAAGTGTAATAGTTGCTTGGACAGTTGTGCTGTGATCAATTGTGTGAGAAGGGCTAAAAGAGTTAAAATCTAGCTCTGAGCAAGCATTCACAGATGCAGTGTAACAGGCTAATTTAGATCCATGGAACAATTAAAAGATGCGATTGGAAAATGATTTTAGTAATGAGACGCTGAGGACTTGTATTTTATCGTTTTTAATCGATTTTACTGTTTTTATATGATTTATACTATATGTTAATGTTTTAACTATATTTTATGTTGTTGGGGCATTGAATTTTGCTGATTGTAAACCGCCCTGAGTCGCTTTCAGGCTGAGAAAGGCGGTATATAAATATGTTAAATAAATAAATAATAAAATGGAGCATGTGAAATTCTAGTTATTCTCTTTTCTTCAGCTTGAAATGTAATGACAATTCAGAGAGTGTATGAAGCTGAAGATAGTTGTTACCTTTAAAAAACAGTGTTCTTTCAGATATAGTCATTTGTGTTAAATATAAGGAAAATGTTCTCTTTGCACTATTAGATATTTTAATAAGGTAATTTATACATAAAGTTTTGAATGTGTAGTGGAGTCTCCTTCTTGGGAGGTTTTAAAGCACAGGCTGGGTGGCCATCTATTGAGTGCTGTGACTAGGTATTCCTGCATAGCAGAATGAATGACCCTTCAGTCTCTTACAAGTCTTTGGTGTTAGCATTCTATGTATAATTGAATAATAATATTTAAACCAAATGTACTGATCACATAACATTATTTAGAGCAAAAGAACATTTTTCAGTGCTACTTTTTCATGAAAACCAGAATTTATATTTTAACCATAATAGCTTCACGGGGAAGCAGGAATTTGAACCTCGGCTCCTCTAGTCTCAGTTTAGCATATTCTAGCATTCTTCTCAAGTTGCTCCTGACACACACACAAACTCTACTATTATAATACACTAGCTATGCCCCTAGCATTTAGAATTCCTTTATTCTAGAAATGATAGCCACAGCTCTAAGAGTGACCACTGTTTTCTTCGCATTTCAAGTCAATTGGAAACTATGCTAAAATGAAGCATATTTTTGTTGGCACCTCCCTGTGACAAGCCCATATGCCTTTTAAAGCAGCTGAGAACAATAGAAGGAAATGTTCTTCCTTAATGCAGCTTCTGAATTGGAAATGTCTTTGATTTCATCCATGTGGAAAGAGTAGTGAAAAAAATGCTAGACAGAGAGCCTGGGGATTTTGGCAACTTGTTGTGTTGAACAGTTTGTGCTTGGAACAGCCAACAACATAGTAAGTGTGCTTTATGTTTATGGATCAGGTGCATGAAAGACATGCAATAATGGCTTTGATATCTCCATCTTTTAATCCTCTTTTGCTTCATATGGCAAAGGTTAACATCACAGACAGCAATCCAAAATTAGAAACCAACATTATTTTGACATCCACTTAAGTTTTTTTAACAGTCACAATGCTTTTGAATGGGCTTGATTGTTCACAATATCCCAAACCCCTTCTCTGCTGTGCTGTAACAGCTGCCTTCATAACTCACAATCTTTGTGTATGTGTCTTTAAGGCATCTATCAACATATGGCGACCCCATGAATTTCACAAGGAGTACTCAGAGGTGGTTTTGCCAGTTCCTTCCTCTGAAATATAGTTTACAGCACCTGGGATTCATTGGTGGTCTCCCGTCCAAGTGCAATCTTTACTTCTATCTAAATTGCTACAACCCACAAAGGTCACTCAGTGTTCTTTCCTTCCATACTCTCTTCAAAGGGAAATGTGTTTTTTCAAATCTTACTGACGTATGCTTTGATGACTCCGGGATTTCCAGATGTTGCTTATTTTTAAGTACTCCTTGGATTACACAAAGTTATGCTCTCAGAAAACATAATGGATTTTAAAACTGTAGTTCTGAATCATGTGTTTAATTTCCTTTCATGCCTCGAGCAAATATATATCTATATTTATTTATCAAATTATTTCTAATTTACCATTCAACCCAGGAAAATAAGAACCAAGATGACTTACAATTAAATTGTAAACCTTTAGACCAGAACACAGCAAAAGCAGGAACAGATTTAAACAGTCTTTTGAAACCAAGAGTGGACCATATACATTTAAAATAACTAAAATAGTTTTAATCACTCATCAAAGAGACAGCAAATAGGGGGTTAAATTTTGCTTTTTAAAGAAGAGTTTTCTTTAATTGAAGTCCTGCCACAAATCCTTTCCATATACCTACTCTCTTTTGAAGGTCCTTTGAAATAAATCTTACACTACAGGAAGGTTCCTGGAGTGAACAGCCATATCCCAAATATCCTGGCCCTAAACTATTAGGGCTTTATAGTCAAGGACCTCTTTATTGTTTGGATAAGGTGGCAGATAGAGCAGGAGTCATATTTTGCATTAGATACAGTTTCCAGATACTCTGTGTGAGGGGTCTACAAAGCAGTGTTGGGTATCCAAAATTTATGTTGGTTGATCATCAGATCACTGTAGCCCGATCTGTTTTCTTGAGAAAGGGACACAACTGGAACACCAGCCACTTGCTGGGCAGAGACATGTTTTTCAAGATCAGCTGCCTTGCTTTCCCAGAGCAATGCCAGATTCAAAATCACATGTCAGAGGGAGTGCAAACCCTACTAATCATTGTCGTCGTCATCATCATCATCATCATCATCATCACCATTCTGGCTTGAGGCAGGGTACAAAGCGATTGAAACAGACAAATAAAACACACCACTATTAGAATGCATATAGCAAAATGCACACAACAAAGACCAACATCAATAAAATACAGTTTTAAAGTTACAGTTTAAAATTCACAAAAGAATCCTAAGTGCTATATGGAATCACAAGTAAGTTTCTAGTTCCACCTTCTGGAAACACACAGCCAGATGAGATCAGAGTCAGATGATTATCCTAACACCTGTATTGCCCAAATGCAGAAATATGCCAAATGCAGATGTATGCAATGTCTAATGTCATTGAATGTTGTTGAGAAGGACCTGTACAACCAGCAGGGCTATACCCTATGATTAAAAAGAGAAAGCATTTTTGTTTTAGATTTGAGTCTCATATTCAAAAGATATCATTTTCTATAATCAAATGCAGGCATTCCAAAACAAGAGAAAAATCTGAAATACGGAACACTTCTGGGTCCATTCATTTTGGATAAGTGATGCTAAAATTAGTATTTGAATATGTAATACTTTGATTTTTCTTCCCCTCTCTTTTATCAGAAACTGTCCTTGCAAAATGAGCCATTTCTCTCGGAAGAGCTCCTTGGAGCTCCAGCAGTCGGAGTGCAGACAATCTAGGGCAGACTCCTCTAGCAACTTATCAATGGATACTTTTTGGCTTGAGGTGGAGAGCATCAAAGAGAATACTGAGTCGGAGCCAGAAGAGTGCAACCTTATGGACGCCAAACCTCCAGAAGGTAAAGTTGTGTTTGGAGCTTACGTGACTGGGTGGAAATAGTTGTGGGCACTTACAATAAAACTTTGTGAGTATATTCTTTGGACTAATCCTGACTGCATTGTTAAAAGAAATATGGTGTATGCTACAGGGATTGCTGCCCAATTAGATAAGTAAGTTGTGTCATTAGTCTTTGTATGATGGAAAGTCAGTGACTAAATGTAGCAAGAGAAGTATCTACGGGATTGGGTCTTTAGTGGTGAGGACATGAGGGGGTCTTTGACCTCACATGTGCCTGTTGCTTGCCTTGGAAGGAAAGCTTCTGTTAGCAGCAATGGAAGCTTTTCTCCTGTGACAAATACCATAAAGAATGGGGGTGTTGAAGAGTAATAGCATTCCTCCTGTTATGCCACACTCCTCATCCAGTTCTCTCTCTGACCCTGTTTGTGAAAGGTTATTTTGTGTATGGCTGTTTAAAAGTTACATAAGGCCTAACGACTGTGATTAAGATCAGCTCTAGTTTTACCTTGGCTAATAAATCTGAAAACTGGAGATATGCCATTAATTTATTGCTTCTGGAAGAGCCTAAAATATTTCCTCCTCATGTCAATCACCAGTAATCCCCATCTTCCATGCAGGATAGTTGTAGGGATTCTTGTATTATTAACTGAACTACTGTATAGAATCATGTGCAAATGTGTAATATTTTGCACTCATTGTAAAGTAACACACTAGAAATATGCACACAGTGGAAATTGTCTCAAATTCATAGGGAAGATTGTGTAAGATCTAAGGATGGGTATAAGCCCAGTTAGACAACACATTTCTTCAGATCTAAAGCTTCTATCCATGGTTTTTTGTTAGCTGACAAATAACCTTTTCTGCATGCTGTGATTTCCCAGTCCATGTGCAGAGTACTCCATAATTCACAAAAAGGGAGGGAAAACCCCTATGTGCCTGGAGCTATAAATCACAATTATGTACATCACCTGTACATCACAATTACGATAATATGGAATACCATGTAGAAACAGTCTGTTATTTTCCTTTCTGCAAAAGAGGAATCATAGTCATCTACTTTTAATTGCTGTTAACACCAAGGAGGGTGGTCTGTAATGTTTTCTATACATCATAGAAATATATATTTACACCATTATCCCTCTAGCCACTTGTAGATAGTGACTGAAATCCAAAGGGAAGTATTAATCCCTTTATTTGTGGATTCAGGAGGTTTCATCACCTTCTAAAAAGTTCTTACTAGAGGTCCAGTTTCACTCTAGAGTTGCATTTTACTAAACACCATGGAGTGTTATCAAAGAGGAAAGGTGTTTCAGTGGTGGCCACTAAGTCAGTGGATGGTGAACCCACTCTAGGCTTTAACTCGCTTTAAAAAATATATATTTCCAGGATGCTGAACCTTAATGCAGAGATAAAATTTAAAATATCGGATAGATTATGTGAAACCAGAATAAAACATAGAGCAGATTCATCATCTGACTGACATGGAAGATGTTACCCACCTTCCCCCTCCCTCTCTGCAGTGTGTACATGCATATATGGAAAGAATTTGTACGCATATACAATTTTCCCTTTGTTTCAACTTTTGGTTTTTATCTCTTTTGTTCATAATCAGAGTAATCCTGTAAACATATACTATGTATATGTTATGCTCAGGTGTAAGAAGCTGTATGTTTTTCTTTTGGAACTTTGCAATACAAGTTGTTCTTGACTCTACTAAAATATCTTTAATGTCTTCTTCCCTTTCTCCCCAAAATCTATTTTTTAAAATCTACGTTAAACTACTGTATTATCTTTTTTTTATTCCTTCCCCAAGAAGAGTTAGTTAGTAAATGTCATGATTTGTGGTTCCTCCTCTCTAAGGTATAGTATGTCTGACTAGACATAAGGGAAGGGGAAATGAAAATTGTGACTAGAGACAACTTATCTCCACCTGTAGTAAGAGGAACCGAGAAGCAGTAATCTGCTTGTTTGGAATTTTTCTTATTACTTGTGGAAAGTATGTGTCAAAACAAAGCAATGATTATTTAGTAATATGTTTATATACTAAGGTTTTCTGACATGTTTGTGTGAGCGAGAGAAGAATGTTACTAAATTCTAAATCATTGTAAAAAAATCATTTAAGACCACTAGATGGTGCTGTAAATAGTCCATCAGCTCAACCTATGTTTATGTTTATGTGCCTTCAAATTGCCTGTTGACTTATGGCGACCCCATTTCATAGGGTTTTCTTATTTATTTATTTATTTATTTACCATATTTGTATACTGCCTTTCTTAGCCCAGAGGTGACTCAGGGCAGTTCACAATTGACAACAATTTGATGCCTCAACAATTATAAACAATTAAAACAACCATAAAATATTGTTAAAACATATAGCATAATATATATAAAATATATAAAAAACCATGCAAAGCCATAAAACATTGTCATGAGCATCTCCTTAGTAATGGAATATTCAGATGTGGTTTTGGAGATTGCTAAATATTCCAAACAGCAAGTAGGGATTTTACAGGAGCAGTAATAAATGTGGAAATGAAGTCTAGCTAAAGTAACTTGACTGTGGAAAATACATGAAATCTAACGATTAAAAGGTGTCATGTTGCCAGGGGTCTGACGTTATTTCCGGCAGAGGTCAATCAAACAAACACCTGGTTTGTGCTAAACAATTTAATTAAAACAGCACTTACTTTCTGGCTGTTTCAATAGTGCAAAACATAAAACATAAAGATAGCACTCAGCCACAGAGTGCTGATAGCAAAAACTGATAGCAAATGCTACACCGTAGTCAAAGGATCCAGTCCAGTGGTCAACCGCTGCAAGTTCAATAAACAAAGTCCAGGGATCAAGAGTCTATACCATAGTCAAAAGCTAGTCCAGAGGTTCAAGGTTCCAAGATTACAGGAGACAGGTCAGGATACCCAAAAACCAACAAACCTGGGGGAAAACCAACAGCATCTACTACCAAAATAAAACAAATACTTTTCTCCCAAAGATCAGTCCCCAGGATAGCTCCTTAAATCCAGTAACACCCAGCTGCAACCTATCCCCTGCATGCCTCCACCCTTGATTGCTTTTACCTGTAACCTGTTACTTACAAACTACTCAACCCTTTAGAACCAAGACTTACACTAACCCTTCCATCACCAACTGCCAGGTCTGCCACCACCAACCACCATCAACTATGGGACATGATGCATGAGACATTAGTACCAGCAGAAGTAAAATTTGAATGTCTTACTTGCAAATTATGTAATGTCACAGAAAACAAGCTGTCATGCTAGGTTAAAAGAAGGGTCTCGTCACTCAAGGATTCTGTTCTAATATCAAACAACCAGATACTTGGGTGAAATACCAAAGCAGAACTTCTAATCCATAGTTCTCACTAGTTTTATATACACTAATCGCTTGTATTCAGAAGCCTTCTGCCTCCAAACCATGGCTTCTGCTCTCAGTGACTAGTGGCCATCTGTGAATTTGTTCAGTTTCCTGGTAAAGCTTTTCAAATCGGTGGCTGTCACAACTTCTGGCAGTGAATTCTGTTCTGTGTGAAGACATAATTCCTTTTTGTCCCATATCTGCCATTGTTCATTTTATATGAATGATTCTATTTTATTATTTATTTACTTCATTTATATCCTGCTTTTCTCAATCCTATGGGGGACTCAAGAGCGGTGTACATTGTAAGTCTAGGCAAACATTCAATGTCTCAATTACACACACAGTTAAACATACATTAAAATCATTAAACAAAAACTTAAAACACAATTTAAAACCATTAACCATGTTAAAACATGAATCCAAAACACATTTGATTCACATTTAATGAGGAAGGGAAAATAACTTCTCCAATCATCTATTTTCTGCAGAATGCTATACAGGCATCCTCACTTTTCCACAGCTTGTTTTTTGAAGTTTTGCTATTTCAAAAGATCAAAATTGTAATCACGTACCACTCTCTACCTCTGGTCTGTGGTTTTGACCAATGCTTCTACCCCCCCCCCCCCCCCCCCCAGTGTGTTTTTAGTTTACTTTCACATTGGGCCTATTCTCAGCCTATTTTCCACCACCCAGTGTTCAGTCTTGCATTTGCATGCTAATAAAAGACCGAGTTCTGCTTTTCAACCATTTCCACTTTTGGATAGTGCACTGCTCTCCAGACCTTCAAATAAGTGGGAAATACCTATAATACATACTCTCTTCACTTTCCCCAATCACCCCAGATTCCTCAGAGATAAAAAAAAATAATCTAATTTACGAGTCTACTAGTATTCTCTCTTGCATTAAAATCTTCTTTCGCCATGCAACTACATTTCTTTACAGTTCCTGTGCAGTATTGGTTGTGCATTCTGATCTCCTGGTGTTACAAATGCTACCAATGGCAATGGCTTTATATCTGTAAACCTTCCAACCCTATAGTTTTTAAGGGAACCCTGTAAGACAGTGGCTATCAACCAGTGGGTCCCCCCAGTGTTTTGACCTACAACTCCCAGAAATCCCAGTCAGTTTACCACCTTTTAGGATTTCTGGGAATTGAAGGCCAAAACATGTGGTGACCCACAGGTTGAGAACCACTGCTGTAAGACATGTCTTGCTGAGATAAGGATGGATACATTTTTAAACATTGTATTGTCCTGCATGTGATCCTTGCTGTGGTTAACAGATGACATCCTGCCCCTTGACATTTTTGGTCTTTTTGTCTCCTTATTTCCTGCCTCTTAGAAGGGGAAGCTGAAGCCGAATGGCTGCAAGATGCAGGGCTCTCAGACTTGATTGGAGACTGTGCTGAGGAAAATGGCAACATCGTTTTGCTTTCTACTTTGACGAAGACTCAGGCTGCGGCTGTGCAACGACGGCTGGATACTTATACTCGTTCCCGAAGGAAGAAGAACAAGCAGCCAGTCCGGGATGTCAGAGACATTTTTGGTGTCGTTGGTTCTGGGGTATGTTACTTTATTTATTGTAGTTTGCAGCACTTCCTTGCCTCTGATTCCAGAATTGCCTATGTTATAATATATATATATTTATACGGTTGAATTCTGTTTCCAAATATCTGGGTTTGTCTAGTCTCACCATGGGCATACTGTACTCTTTTCCTAATATTTCCTTCCCTGAAATATTATAATTAAATGTTTTCAACAATTCAATTTAGTAGATCTTGGGGTTTCTAGAAATCTGAAACAATTTGAAAGCACACAATAATAAAGCATTTAGCAGCTATCTAGGATTCTTAAAATATTAATATTAAAGATAGAATTGTTGCATTAAATTAAGTAATTGTATAGGAGCTCCCAGTGGCATGATGGGTTAAACCCTTCTGCTGGCAGGACTGAAGACCGACAGAGCATGGATGAACTCCCTCTGTCAGCTCCAGCTCTCCATGTGGGGACATGAGAGAAACCTCCCACAAGGATGGTAAAACATCAAAACATCTGGGTGTCCCCTGGGCAATGTCCTTGCAGACTGCCAATTCTCTCATACTAGAAGCAACTTGCAGTTTCTCAAGTAGATTTTGACATGAAAAAAGTATAATTCCTGTGAGTTAAAAGGTCCTCTTTTGTTCCTTTCCCTTTTCATTCAGTGTTATGTTGACACACTCAAACTGAAATAGCTGCTTAAAAAAGTGCCCCCTCACTTGCAGCTGAAATCAATTAACCCCTCACTTACTTGATTCATTGACAGTTAATTAACTAACTAATTAATTAAGTTTGCAGCCCTGATGTCTAGTATTTTAACGGTATTCCATGGAACTGATGATTTAAATGTAAAACACTATGACCTCCCCGCCCCCTTATCAATGGGACTGGTATCCACAGTTTCACTTATCAACATCCAACAAAATCTGTTCTCTCTAGGCATTTTCCAGATCCTCCAGTGCATTCTTAGGTCAGAAGTCTTTAATTTCAATAGTTTGCTATTACCTATGCCTCTGCATATCCTTGTGAGGTTTGAATACATATTCCTCATGGATGAAAAGGTTATACTGCAATTGTTGCCATATAAACAATAGCTTATTCTTCAGCTATGATTAGTAAACAGTTAAATTGTTTCTGCCTTAATGAAATGCATGTAGTAGTTTCCTTATTTCTAGGTTTGGTTTACTTTTCTAGCTTTGCACCCCACCTTAAGCACTTTCCCCACTGGAAAAAATAAACAACAACTATTTTTAGCCTTTGAAACAACCTGATGGTCTAGCTGAGTACTTTTTTGCCCTTTCACACACCCAGATTGTTCAGTGACTCTGTACTGCATTTTGGGAGGCCATAGCATACCTTCTGTGTGCTGACCCATAGTAGCTTTGTTACTGAGATGTTTGCAGGTCTTGTTCAGAGAAATGAAAAGGTAGAAAAGCAGAAAAGTCTGAATCCAATTGTTCTGCTTAACTTACACTAGCACCAATTTACTACTTGCTCTTTGATCTGTGTTCGCCATGAAAACATTTTAATTTGAACTGGAGCTTAGCAAAACACCTTAATTCATGAGTCAAGCACTAGAACAGATACAGCCAACATGAGAACACCCACTCACATGCAGAGTGTCTTTTTGGTTAGTCTGGAAATTTGAGTTTCCCACGGTTACTCAGTAGATTGGCTGAGCAGGAAATCAGATATTGGTCTTCCAAAATTGGTCTTCAAAGCACGCCACCATACTGGCTCTCTTGCACGTACAATTGAGCATATATAAATGCATATGCTTACATGCCAACAATATGTATATATCAACATACATATCAATAATAGAAGATGCTTGGTTGGAATGTGGCACCAACAAGAAGGGAGAGCTTGGAATAGATTGGAATTTGATCATTTATTTTGGACAATAGATACCTTTTGGGAAACACCATCTTTCCTTTCTCTTGCTGTTCTTTTTGTATTGGATTATACCTCTTGGGTGTCTAGGACACTGGTGGTAATCATGCAACCATATAAATACTATAGAAATGCAAGAACCAGTATTCCTCACCATGAACTAGATCTGATGTGAGTTGCAGTCCAGCAAACCTTTTGCATGACTCCCATCCCTAGTCTAGGATTTAATTGGTTTTTGAATAGGCTTCTTCACTTGTGTTTTCTGTCTTGTATTCTAGACGGAACCTGAAATGGAGTCACAGATGGATCGATTACACTGCAAATCAGCATCATCAAATGGCATTCAGAAATGTAAGAAGGAATAATTATTGTTATGAATAAACAGAGTAAATAAGTTTTAAAGTTATGGATGCCTAAAACAAAAGGCCTACATCCTACATAGCCATTGATAATTTTCTACTGTTAGTGTGAGATGGCTTGTGTCCTTCAGCACTCCACATTGTCAGCAAATTTGCTCCAGAGGATTACCCATACCTACAAAGCAGAGTTTGGTAGTGCATGTATTTTTCAAATATTATCCAAGAGGATATTTTCCCTCATGAGCATATTTATTTATTTATTTATTATTTAAACTTATATGCCGCCACTTCCCTGGGGCTCGGAGCAGCTTACAAGAATGGCTAAAATCTAACAAAATTTAAAAGCAATTTAAAACAATTTAAAAACAGCAATATCAAACATTAAAAGCCTGTCAAAACAGGTATGTCTTACATGCCCTGCGGAAAGCTGTAAGTCCCGCAAGGCACGGACTTCAGGTGGCAGAGTATTCCAGAGTGATGGTGCCACTGCTGTGAAGGCTCTGCGTCTGGTTGCTGTTAGACGCAAGGTCTTGACACTGGGGACTTCCAATAGATCTTGGTCCTCAGAACGGAGGGATCTCTGGGGTTGGTAGGGGGTGAGGCGGTCCCTCAGATACATCGGAGGGATCTTTGGGGTTGGTAGGGGGTGAGGCGGTCCCTCAGATACAGATACATATGTTGAATGCACATTGAGAAGGGTGTTTCTAAGACCACACTTTGAACTTAAATATATTTTAAGTTTAGAAAAATGAGGATTATTTATGCATTTTGAATTATAATGGATGTTTTCTACTAATGTTCATGCTTTTCATCAAGAGCTAATGTTTTTAATCAATATACTGAATACAGATTAGCACTGAATTAAAATTGGTTAGAAGAAACACACTTGTATAGGTGTCTTTTTGTCACTCTGTAAAAAGCCCACTTGTCTAAAGTCCTTGTCATATACATTTTTTGTGAATTGTGACATCAGTTTGCAAGAAAAAAAACATAAAGTAGAAACTCAACTGTCTCAATATATCAAACAAAATTTGTTTCTTATGTAAAGTTATGCAAACAGAATGTATTGATTGGTGTAAAACAAATCACTGGGTTTAAATCCACTAACTAATCCTGGTTAGATCAGATTTATCAAATCAGTTGAATTTGCATGAATGTTGATTTTCATGGTTTCATTGATTTTATGGTCTGTTGTACTTTGGCCTTGGACATTATTTCCCCTGTTGTGTGTAACACTTCAATAAGACATAGATTGGAAATGTGAAAGGACAGTTTAAATCATTGCTGGTTATAAACTAGGTCATAAAACCACTTGATTCTGACAGTAGTGAACACTCTGCTCATTCAGGTTATAAAACCCAGGCTCAATGCTTTGCTTCATAATGTTCTAGGAGACTGAAATAATTAACCTAAAGTAGAATTAGACCAATGTTTACATTAATGTAGGTTCTTAAAATACTCTGTGGTCCATGATCTCCTGGGTGAGGTGAATGTCATAATGGACATGTATTTTAGCTTTTACAGCATCATTGTTTTTGGATTTACTTTGCTTTGCAATGTTTATGTACAACATAAAGGTTTTTCCTATCTGAACACTTCTTAGCAGATACAAAGGGGATTCAAGAATTTTCCTCACCCCTGAGAGGTTCTGTGAGAGAGGAATTATTCAACACTGAAATTGCTTATTCAGAGCAGGCTGCCATCTTACTCAAAGGATCCTTCCCAAGGGACTCCAGGAGGATCAAGGATGACATTTGTTTCCCCGTAAGTATTTATTGTTTCTTGGGGAACTGCTGTAAGTATTAACACTGATATAATCATTCCTCTTGATTGTACATTGCTCTCTTCAACTCTTGCTTTTTGTCCTTTTTTGGTTCAGAAAATTAAGATCCCCAAGGGCAGACTGGGAATGACCAGGATTGGAGATTTATCTCAACAGGACATGAAGAAGATCCCCACTCTGGCACTCATTGAGCTGACTGCTCTTTGCGATGTCCTTGGCTTAGAGCTGAAGAGAAACAAGTCGTTAAAGCGGAAGGCGGCAGGTAGATTTGCTTTCTACTCTCTATTAAACATAATTATGCATCCTTTGGTTCTTGTTATTGATGAATATCAGTAAAGTGGGATAATAGATGGTTTGCCAGATCTGAAAGTGAAAGGAACCATCTCCAAACCAATATGTCTATATCTCCTCTCTTGGATTGCATTTGTGGTCATTCTGATATGTACACAAGGGATGTGGAATCTTTGGTTTGCAGCACATTTGGGTCCCTTTTGAGGTGTTTTCTCTTTGGCAGGAGGAACTTACATCACCCAAGCCCCATTCAATGCTCTAGTTACTACAAGCATATAAATTATGCCTATTCTGTCATTCCTCTTTCCTTCCTCTCTTTCTTTTGCTCTCCCCCCCCCCCCCCCCGGCTACATGCCTGCTTGAGACAATCAAACTTGGAAAGGTGGATCCTGTTTATATGACTAGGACCAGCTAGGGAGATAAAGTGATAAGTGTTTTAGGGAGTGTTGTTATTGTTATAGCACCAAGAGATGAGCCATCATGTTTTCCTTTCCACTGAGACTATTTGGCTTATGTACAATTTTTGCCAGTCATTCTCTTCTCCCACTACATCTTTACTACTGTATGTAGGTGATAGTTAATTTTGAATGGATGTGGCAGAGAGAAAAATAGTTCATGAGATGCCTTCATCCCCACCCACCAAAGGCATGCTGTACACCCATGATCAATTAACCTTGTGGAGGTGTGGCATTCTAAAGAGGGAATGGTTGTCCAACCCAATGTAATGTCTTTGTATCCAGAGCTGTGTCTCTATCAAACAGAAGCCTAGTGCAGGCTGTCACTAGGTTGCACACCTTGTATGCAAGCTGTGATGCATTCTCGGATAAAATCATAAATTCATAGAACTGGAAAGAGACCACAGGGTCCATCCAATCCAACTCCATTCTGTGATGGAGAAATACACAAAGTACTCCCAACAAATAGCCATCCAAACTCTGTTTCAAAACATCAAAATTAAGAGACTCCACTATACTCAGAAGGATTATATTCCAGTGTTAAACAGTTCTAACCATCAGGGAGAGTTTCTTAATGTTTATGTAGAATTTCCTTTTCCTGTAATTTCTATAATACTTAATAGTAGGAAATTACTACTCTAGAGAAGTTCACTCACTGACACACTTTCAAGTTGTAATCAGATGTTTGAATGTATTGTGATCATCAAGCGGATCGTAGCCCAATGATCTCCAGGATTTGGAAAATATACTGCTTTTGGGCAAGAGCTCCCTAAATGCCCTAGCCAGGGATGATGCTGACTGTGAGTTTTCTAGCTTCTGGAGATTTTTCATATGTAGGGAAATTGTGCTATATAATGCTTTGGAAATTCATCCCAACTACTGGCATCACAATATTAAACATGTTATTTTTAGCAAAATATTCAACTACTTCAGAATTACCTGCCCTTTGCTATTTCTTACCAATTTGTCCTTTTAATGATTTCCATGACATTTCTTTCTAAATTTGTGCTGATCATTTGGATAAATTATGTATTTATGGATACTATCATGTATATTCTCTGTTGCAGAGCACAAGCTTTTTGGTGTCCCCCTTGGAACTTTGTTAGAAAATGATCAAAAGCTCCTACCGAATACCAGAGTTCCACTGATTCTGCAAGCGGCAAGTTTATTTTGCATTACCTTTCCTTCTTGTTTTTGTTGCTGAATCCGTGTCTATTCAGTGCTTTGTTTTGCTACTGAATAGTTGGTACTTTTTAATGATCATGTTCTTCCATTTTGCTTCATAGTTGCTGTCCTGTTTGGAAAAGAAAGGCCTGGACACAGAGGGAATCCTTAGAGTCTCAGGATCACAGTCCCGCATTAAGGTAAAGCATAGCACTTTTCAGTTTCCTGATGAAACCTAAAGTTCTTTGAACCCTTTAGCAGCAGTCATTCAGGAGGAGATTTTTTGATAAACAAGCTTCTTGCAAGTGCAGTTGACTTTTACTACTCTCCCTTCTCTTTGCAGACATAGAGACATAGTGATGCTGTATGCTCTGTCCTGGAGTTAGCAACAGTGAAAGATTATATTTTCAAGAAGAATTTGGAAAGGGCTGCACACACCCCAATACCAAATAATTAAATAAAATAAATTAAGACTTTTTAAATCCCTTATGTTTTCTAGGGATATTTTAGGCCTAGGAGATGCCTTTTTAAAAGTATCAGTAAATGAGCAGTAGTCAGTTCTTATTTGCTTGTTCTTTTGGAAGAAGGGAAGGAAGCATAGCAAAAATGATGCACATGCCCCAGTAGGCATTTGGAAGCAAAATATGTCTTTGAAAAAAAATACTAAGGACCACCAAAACAAATCTACAGCTCACAGACCACTCTTTGTCCATAGCTATTCTAGACTAAGGGCGAAGCATCTCTTTCAGTCATAGGCGGATTTCAGTTTCAGAGGAGTTCTTGGGTGGGGTCAAATGCACAATGACAGTTCCAAGAATAATAGTGTATTTTAGCTTAAATCTCTTCTTGCAAATAAAGCAGTGGAAAAGGCATCTAAACCTTTGTAGAATAAGAAAACCCTTGCACTTCATTTAAGAAACTACCAAAATAATATTATGGGGCAAAAGAGTTGAGGGCCAAATTCAGCTCAAGGATTTGAGTTCCTTCACATTCTTGTTATAGACAAAGATGACTATGGGATACAGTTCAGTGTCTGGTGGACCACCTGCTACCTTCTGGTTATTGGGATTCTTTGTCTATGATAGTAGATGTGTACTTTTAGTTAAATTTTGAAAGGAAATAAAGCTCATACTAATAGCTGAGTTCCATTTTAACACCAATCACACACACACACACACACACACACACAGTCTTGTATTTGTTTTAGTTTGGAAGCTGCCTTGAGTGCTAATTCTAGAGGAAAAGGGTATAAATATTTTCTTTTGTTTTTTAAAACATTTTTTAAAATGTATTTATAAGCATAATAAATAGATATTACACATACCACACACAGTACTGTGTGTAAGACAACCCTCTTACCCATATCCTACACAAAGTTGGCCCCAATTCCACTCACCTGTGCACCCACCACCTTGACTTCCATCTCTAGTCACTGTGGTGCCTATGGCATTCTTATTTATTAGAAGGAGAGTGAAAGAAGTGAATTGTATACAGTCTCAAGAGGAATTTATGGCTAAGCAAGTTAGAAGGGTAAATAAGAATATTTCTTTTTGTTGTTAATGATGACATAATACCGAGCCCTGTGAATAAAAGGCCACAGTACCATTGAATGTAAAGATTAGATTGGGATTGTCATAAAAAGGAAGCTGGGAAGCACCTTGAAAACCAGGTTGATTGGTGGGATGATTGACTGAGTCTCCATTATTAAGTCTTCTTGCCTTTAGCTGTTCCTTATGTCTGCAGTTGAATTCTATTCCCGTTGTTTGACTAAGTGTGCCCAAAACACCTAATCCTTCTTAAGAAGAAGGTATTGCTCATTTCCCGTGTCTAAAGAAAGTGCTAGCTGTGACAGAGAACTTAACAATGTCTCCATCACCAATTGGACTGCTGCAATTCAGTTATCTCAAAGTAATAAATGCAATATATGAGCAAGAATATGAAGTTGTGTAGTGCCACTCTCACTGTTTTGTGTGTTGCATCGCCCTGATCCATTACCTCTATCTTTCGCTATCACGCTGGATGGCTAATGCCCTACTTCAACAGAGGATATGCTTCACAAGCTTCTGTAACAGGAATTCTTAAAATCCCTTTATGTAGATATTTCCACATTCAAAAATGTAACATGGTGCCTCCTCCTGTAACTTACACTGCTTGCAGAAAATTCAACAACAGCTATGATGAAAAGAGCTCCTTTCAAAGCATAACTGTGTTCATGGACAAACCAGAAGGGGGCAGCAGTAAGCAAAAGAAAACTGGAGTTAGAACAGGCATGGGTAAACTCTGACCTTCCAGGTGTTTTGGACTCAACTGGCTGTTAGGAGTTGTGGGAGTTGAAGTCCAAAACACCTGGAAGGCTAGAGTTTACCCATGCCTGAGTTAAAAGATGCAAGAATATTTCCAAATCGTTCCTATTTCCATGTTGCCCACCTATCCCCTGGCAATTATAGAACAGGGAGCTGAGGATTCAGTAAGGAAATTCCAGGGCTGGGGGTGTGAACCTATTTTAACCCCTGTGCTGTCATGGCAGACAATTTGTTTTCAATTAGAAGACGCTATTCTGAAATGACTGGAAACATACATACCATTTCATTATTTTTATACTGTATTCTCAATTTGCTTCTGACATTATAAAGCTGATTTTTGCCTAGTTTGAGTGATATTTGGATGGTTAAATCATAAGCTGCCATTTAAGAAGTGGTGATTAACTTTTCAGTGATGTATTTTTTTATTCCCATAAAAATATTTTTAGAGGGGACCGGGACATGCCATAAGCTTTAGAGATTTAAAAAAAGGAGTTGTGAGGCTCCATGCAGGCTACACATACCATTGCTATAGGAAAATTCTGGCTTACTTTTCTTAAGATAATGCTTCTTTTATAAGGACACACTATTTTTCCCAGGTATTGAATTGGTGATTGGTTGTTAGTCACCTAGTACAACTCTCAGTTCCTATATTAGCAAATTACAGAAGCAGTAGTGGGAGAACACTGGAGGTGTTGCCATTGGAAATCAACAATATCTGCACAGCCCAGTTGCCAAGTAACACATCATGACTGTGGCAAAGTAATTGCAGGAGAAAAGTCTCATTTGGAAGTACTCTGCTCTCCTGATTACATCTGCAATTGTTTCACCAAATGTAAATTACAAATGAAATAGCAGAAGACGTTCTGTGGAAAAGCTGGTCTCATTTCTCTTGTTTGTTTCAATGTTAAATGTAATTATCTATGGTTTTCCATTGCTGAGATGGGTCTCTCTCTCTCTCTCCTTTTTTCCTTCAGAGTCTGGAACGAAAACTGGAAAGTGAATTCTATACAGGCTTCTTCCAGTGGGACAATGTCCATCAGAATGATGTGTCTGGCTTGCTCAAGAGGTTCATCCGGGAACTCCCTTCTCCCCTGCTGACAGCAGAATACTTGCCTGCCTTTGCAGCTGTGCAAAGTAAGCCCTTGGTCAAAAAGGCAATTGTTTTGTCACTAGTTTCTGTTGGGTCCATTAGAAGCAGCACATACTTATTTAAATTGAGTTATTTAAAACATTTATATTCCGCCCTTCTCACCCCGAAGGGGGCTCAGAGTGGAGCACAGCATATACATGGCAAACATTCAATGCCGGGACACAGATTCACAATACAATACATAACATTAAAAAACATTTATCAAAATATTAAAATACACCATTTAAAACCCTCCTAGTCATCCGCGTCAAATCTAATTGGCCTGGTCAATTGCCGCTTTATTGTCCTGTCCTGAAAGCTTGGTCCCACAGCCAAGTTTTTACTATCCTTCTAAAGAACAGGAGGGAGGGGGCCGACCTGATCTCACCAGGAAGGGAGTTTCATAGTCGGGGAGCAATCACCGAAAAGACCTTGTCTCTCGTCCCCACCAATCGTGCCTGTGACAATGGTGGGACGAAAAGCAGGGCCTCACCAGAGGATCTTAATCTCTGCGATGGTTCATAAGGGGAGATGCGTTCGGACAGGTAATTTGGGCTGGGGCCATTTAGGGCTTTATAGGCCAAAGCCAGCATTTTGAATTGTGCCCGGTAGCAAACTGGCAGCCAGTGGAGCTGCCGTAACATGGGAGTTGTATGCTCCCTATATGCCACCCCAGTTATTAACCTGGCTGCCTCTCGTTGGACTATTTGAAGCTTCTGAGCAATCTTCAAAGGCAACCCCATGTAGAGTGTGTTGCAGTAGTCTACCCTAGATGTAACGAGATCGTGGACCATTATGGCCAAGTCTGACTTTCCAAGGTACGGGCGCAGCTGGCGCACAAGTTTTAATTGTGTGAACGCTCCCTTGGCCACCGCTGCAACCTGGGATTCCAGGCTCAGTGATGAAAACCAGGAGAACTCCCAAGCTGCGAACCTTTGCCTTCAAGGGGAGTGTAACCCTATCCAGCACAGACTGCAACCCTATACCCTGTCCGGCCTTGCGACTGACCAGGAGGACCATCAGGATTCCACATTTGCATATTTTATTTTTGCAGATTTAATTGTTATGGATTTGATGCAAATGTTCTCTTTTGAATCTCTATGTCCTCTAGTGTTACTCTATGGTCAACTTCTACCCCCCTCCCTCTCTCTATATATATATTTAAAACTTTAGACACATAGGTATTCAGACTATAAGGGAGGGAGCAAGTGTCAAAGGGCCCAATCCATTTTCACTTTCAGATTAAACGGTACTTACTTGGGTTTTCTTCTCTATAGTTATTCAACTTTGGATGTGTTTTCTTTTCTCCACTATAGATATCCCAGACCTGAAACAAAGACTACAAGCTCTCAATCTGCTCATATTGATTTTGCCGGAACCAAATCGAAACACATTGAAGGTATTGTGACCACTTTTTAAGGTCTCAGTTGTCAGTACAGTGGTGCCATGTAGGTAGTTGAGCTGGACAAGAGTTTCAATCTGCAACTTCGAAAAGCTCCAGGCCAGCATTACCAGTCCTTAAAACCAGGGTTTCCAGTCTTTTATACTGCTCATTCTTGTGACAAGATGTGTCAACATGTCATGGCAGTGTGTTGGGAATTCCTGAACACCCACAAGATTTCTTGCTCAAGAACAAGACAGGTAGTCCATTTGGGGTGGAGTGATTGAGATTCCTGTAATTTGCACAAAATACGTTAATGTATAGTAAATGTCGTCCCGTCCCCCCCCTTTGTGTGTGTGTGTGAAGCAAAGTACATAGAGAGCAAGTACAGAAGGACTGGCTGATTTATTAAAAAGGATGCTAAAGTTCATTTGATGCATCTGTCATAGCTTAGCTATATAATTTGCACAAAATTGTTCTCCCAGATGGGAAATCTGTTTCAAGACTGAAGAAAAAATCCCTGCAGGTGAAGAAGGATTTGTGGGTTTTTATTCTTGCATAAGATAATAATACTAGCAAAGATTTTCATCTTTTGGAGAGAGCTTCCACATGTTGCAAAAGCTTTTCAGATCTCATCACTCTCCAACAGAGGAAAGTGTCAGAACTGATTATGGATGGAGGAGGGCTGAGCATGTTCTCCTCCTCACATGCTGATTCCACATGCTTTTAAAGAGCAACTGAATTAGGGTTCTTAGAGACTGCAGTACCGTAATGGTAGTAAGCTTTCAAGGTGCAAAACTGCTACATTGTATGAACAGTAGTAATGTTAAGCAGACAACATTGTAAGCTCATGAAGTTGTGCAATTTGCTAGAACAGCGGTTCTCTACCTGTGGGTCCCCAGATGTTTTGGCCTTCAACTCCAAGAAATTCTAACAGCTGGTAAACTGGCTGGGATTTCTGGGAGTTGTAGGCCAAAATACCTGGGCCCCCTCAGGCTGAGAATCACTGTGTTAGAACAAAAAGGGTTGTTTGTAAATATGCAGAAAGTGATGTTATATCTCTCTGCATCTAAATAATGTGTTGGAGTTGTGTGGCCTGTTACATGTCTTTGGACTGTTGTAATCCAACAGTATATGGAGTACTACATTATTCCTACTCCTGATATCAAATTAAAGCTGATTACCCTTTTTGCTTTTTTCACATACAGCTTTTCTCCAATAATGGGAATAATTCTCCTCTCTGTGTCTGTCTGTCTCTTTCTTTTTCTCTCAGGCTCTGCTGGAGTTTCTGAGGCTGGTGGTTACCAGGGAAAGAAAAAACAAGATGAATCTCTGGAATGTTTCCACAGTCATTGCACCCAATCTCTTCATGCACAAAGGCTTGCCAAACAAGATTCCAGAAGGGAAGGAAAAACAGCTGGCTGAGGGTGCGGCTGACATTGTGCGAATGATGATCCACTACCAGGATTTGCTTTGGACTGTAAGTTGGGTCCTGTTTCCACAGACATTCATAAAGTGCCATAAATGCACAGGGTTGTATCTATTTGTTGTATTCCAGAGGAGACACGTGGAAGTGAATGAGATATAACTTGACTAATATAAGTCCCATTGAGTTCAGTGAATATTTTCTGACTAATCTAGAGATGTAAAGGTCTGTTTTAATGGAAAGGGGGGGGGGTGCTATAAGTTGATCATAGATTTACACCAAAGTACATAAAAATGTCTAGAGAGTGCATTTGTACAGTTGCACTGGAGGACCTGGTGAGAACATATTAATAAAAAATTCAAATATTCAAATCTGCAAAATATAACCCATATACAACATTCAGATCCAATGTGCATTGTGCAGTTTGTGGGTGCTGTCATTTTCTTGAGATAAATATACAGAGTATGCTGATAGCTTACACAGTACTATGACTTCATGAGACTGGTTTTGTGCAAAAATTTTATTTTCCGTTTTTACTTTTCGCTACCTCACTGGTGGCAAAAGCTAAAATCCATGCATTTGGGCTGCACAGAGCACAACAGTCAATAGTTTGCGCTTTAATAGATGATATGTTTTGCATATCCATTTTTTTATAATTTAAAATTCCATACATCTGTTATGTACTACAGTTGTGTATGCTTACTTTTGGGTGAAGCATTTTATTTTCCTAAGCAGTAAAAATATGTTTTAATGTACTAGTCAAATAAATCCTATGTATGTTTATGTTTTCATAAAATATCTCGTTTCCCACAAAACCCTCTTGGGAACTCTTGCCCAATACATTTGGAATTTCCAGAAATTTTTCATATTTGATCCAACTCAGTCTTTCTGTGGAAACTTAAGATGCCACTTTTTTTGCAAATTACTGGTTGAGTATCTCTTATCCAAAATGTTTGGGACCAGTAGCTTTTGGATTTTCAATTTTGAAACACCCTATATTTGCATATACATACATAATTCAATATCTTGGAGATGAGGCCCAAGTCTAAACAAGAAATTTACTTATGTTTCACCTATACATATACACATCACATGAAGATACTTTAATGCAATATTTTAAAATAATTTTGTGCATGAAACAAAGTTTATCTACACTGAACCATCAGAGATGCCATTATCTCAGGTGCCATTGTCTTACAAACAATTTTGTGTTTTGGAATATTTCGGATCTTGGAATTCCAGATAAAAGAGACTCAACTTGTACTGGTCCACTAAAGGGACTTGCTTGGGTTTAAAATTGGCCTGCTTTTCCTTTCTTTTTCCTAGATCTATATCTTTCTCTCCCTATTTCTTTTAGGTTCCATCTTTCTTGGTAGCTCAAGTGAGAAAACTGAATGAGAGCAGCAGTAGGAAGTATCAATTCTACGACAAAAGGATCAAAAACTTGTTAAAGAAGATCCATGCAGATAAGGAAAAGACAGAAAAGAACCATGGTGAAGTGAGTGAAATCCTCCATGCAGTCCCATTGCATTGCTGTCTCACTCAGGGGATGGGTCTATAATTGCAATCTCTGTTCGACATGAAAAAAGAACGGGAAAAACTGTCCATTCTAGTTGTTCTGAATTTTAGCACATTTGTATCACATACCAGGGAAAGTTTTCAGTAAGCAACTACTTTTTAGCTGGTTTAATGTCATGTAAGGATTTATTTCTTAGCATTCACATGCGCACCCATAAATGGAAATTGTGAGGACAGAGTCATGTTATAGCTCACTAGTAAAGGACTGTAGTGACACCAATTTCCCAATGTTTCCAGTCTGCTGTGTCTCTAGATTCTCATTTCTAGTGGCCCCTTGAAATATTTTGAGCTGCATGTTCCCACTCTGAACTTCAGCCCTTAAGTTAAAGGTGCTGGAAGAATATCAGTATTGATTTACTGTATATGACATATTTATATTGATAGTGTATGGATTCTTTACTGTTTACTCATAAAGCTGTGTAATTAATACAAATGATTTTTAAAAAGAAATTCCTGATATTTTGCTTTGAAGTAATGGCAGGTGTTTTGTTGTGTTTTCTGTGACAATTCGTACTTGAAATATAGAATTTTCTTTTGTGTGAACACAAGGGGGTGCTCACAGCTATGCTGTTTATTAATTCTACTCCAGTACTGCCAACTCCTATGGTTATATGATGGAATTGGTTATAATCTTTATGGCTTTGCATCAGTTCTGTCATTTGCCATCACTGCCTGATCTGGTGGCCATTGTACATGCATAACAGAAACACAAATCACTGACCTTTTCAAATAGAGTTCTTGATTACTTCTGTATTGCCTTGAAGTTTGTGCATGTATTTGGATTTTCTTACCCAAATCTTTTCTTTTTCTTGTTACCTCATCTGTCTTTCAGCCATCTAAAATAGTAAAAGTCCAGACCCCCTTGCTTCTAAAGGATTCTCTAGAAGTTCACCTAACCAATGGAATCAAGGCTGCTGATGTGTTGAGGCAGTTCCAGAAGAATATCTGTCAGAACGGCTGGAATATTGTCAACACGGTCCATCTTATAAAAAGGTAATGCTCCCTCTCTTTTCTGAAGTCATCAATGGATATAGCTTGGGGAAACATTTAATTTTTTGGAATGAGTAACATTCAACAGAAGCTGTTTTCACATGGTACTTCAGATCACTATTCATGTCTGGAGAAGGAATAGTTAGGGTTGCTAGATCAAAACCTTGGTTCAGGCCAATGACTGTGATCGAGGGATGTCACATCAGACAAGCCTGGATGGGGTCACCAAGGTTGAGATGGTTGCATAGCATGTGCCAATCAAATAAATACATTAAAAAGAAGTTATACATCTGCATTCGTATTTGTGTGTGTGTATTGGGTATAATATATGACAGCATACTAGTACTGTACTAAGGTTACCTGAATGGAGACAGGTCCTGTGCCTTTAATGGTTGTGAGGAAGAAGGAATTTCAGCAAGTGTTGCTCATTATCAGGTTGTGTTCCCTGCTGAAGTTCCCTCTCACAACCACTAAAGGCACAATAGCCCTCTACACGTTGCCATCTGGAAATCATAATTGCATACTAGAAACAATACAGAAGGCTCATGCTAACTAAGGAAAATACATTTGGGAGTCAGATGTTTAATTTAACCAGAGACTGGCTTTAGAGTTACAACTTGGAAGAGTAGAAGAAAGAAAGGAATGAATTGGAAAAAGGGAGTAAACCTGCCAAAGGCTCAGAGATTTTTCGGCAGATGAGAACACATTCATAAAATGTAAGGACAGCAGAATCAACATTAGATTTCCTGCCTGTGTTCCCTTGCAATTTAACTTCTTAATCTGGTGTCTGATGAAAACGTAGCCTTCTGTAAATCAAATATAAATGTTGATTCTTGTGACTGCTGATATGTTAAGGTATTTTGTGTCTATGGCAACCAAAGACAAGTCTCACCTTGAGGTAGAAAGAATGGGGTAGATTGCCATAAAATGGTATTCTGGAAAATTTGTGGGTTTTGTTGTTGTTGTTGAACTTTTTCAGATAGGAGATTTTAAAGATGACCGAAAATGAACATAAAACAATAGTTTGAGAAATGTCTTTCCTGAAATCATTTTGGAGTCTTGGCCTCAATGTGCAGAGTGTGTGTATGTGTGTGAGCTAGAAATGAAAATTACATTTGTGAGAGAGGAGTGGAATTAGAACAGGTTTGGAAAAGAAAGATAACTGCCTGTAACCAGAAGAAAGTTCTCCACTAGCTAGTATGGTATTGGAAGCAAATACTTCTTTGTATTGAAAAAAGACCCCTCCTTTCCCACAAAAGTAAATACCATATTGGGGAAAATAATATTCCTGAAAACATTAGCAGGGAGAGGAAGTGGTTAAATTATCTCTCTAGACTGCTCTGATTCCCTCCCCTTTGTGCAATTTGCATTTTTAAGCTCCTGCATGTTAAAATGTGTTTTGTCAGGTGTAGCTTAGCCCTCAAAGTATTCATTCTGCTCTACACAGTGATTGCCTGCTGAACTTTACAACCATTGCATGGCTGTGACCTTAAAGTGATTAAGGTTCATATAAACTGTTTTGCGTCATGGTCCAATGAATTATCTGAATGCATGCAATTCATTTACTGAAATGAAGCTGATGTGGTCCTTAAAGGAGAAACCACTTGGGAGCCATTTTTAAATATCTCTGAGCACTCCAAAGGAGGCATGGATGTAAGTGCGCAATAAACACCAACCACAGTCACAGTTTGACGATGACAGGTTACGACCTGAAACCAAGACTGACTTATAAAAGCTTCTTAGGTAATTCATGCATCTGTCAGCATGTTCCATAGGCCTTGAGAGTTTCTGGCTTTTCTCCCCCAGTAAGTGACATGGACATCTAAATAACAGGAAGTTAAAGAGGAAGAAGGGGGACCCTAGTGTGACATGATGGATTTCAGGCATTAGCACTTAATGCTCTATTAACAACAGCCATTTTCACCTGGGACTGCTGCAGTTTTTTTCTTCACACCTTCAAGCAGCTCCAGAATTGCTGTTGAAGCAAGCCTAGTGTTGTTGATAGGCATTGATTTTTTAGCCTTTTTTATTTCTGTCATGAGAGAGTAGCTCTTTTTACAAGGATTGGAGTGTATGTGAAAGTATCTGCACAAGCTACCCAGACTGTAAAAGTCATCCAGTCTCCACAGGGTACCCTGAGAATTATCATTTTTTCAAGACTTTTCTGAGTAGGGATCTGCGAAACTATGGTGTAGAAATTGGGTACAGTCAGTCATCTCCGTATATCTCTGTATAGTGACTTTATGAAAGTTTCTTGAAAGACCAGTTTTATTGAGTTCCATCACTCCTCTTTTTCCATGGATTCAATATACCGTATTTTCCAGTGTATAAGATGATTGGATGTACCCCCAACATTTCCAGTTAAAATATAGAGTTTGGCATATACTCACCATATAAGACTACCCCTCTTCCAATGCACACATAATAATTTTTTAAAAAAACCCATCAGATTTGATTTAAATATGGTAATTTTCCTATTACTGTACCTCTTTCTCTGCCTCTCAGATCTTGCACATGTGTGCCTGTGCTCCTTCACTGCAGTCCTCAGGAGCAAGATCTGAGAGGCAGAGAAGGATGTATGGCAATAGGATACAAAGGCGGGCCAGATGGGTGAAAGAAGTGTGTTTTTCTGGGCATAGTGCAGCTCTGTCTCTTTTTTCCGCCCTTCACTTACACCTTCCCGGTGAGGCATACCCTCACCTCATCATTGGGACTGTGTTAAGACACTTCTTTCGAGAAATTCTGGTGAGTGGTTTTTCTTCTACTGTACTTGTACAGCACTGCCCTTTCTGCTTTCATATGGTCGCTACATATGGCAGGGATGCAGCCACAACCTTTTTTGAGTTCCCCTCACCATATGCGGCAACCGCAGATTCACCAGTCCAGCTCAGAGGTTTCAGCACCCGCCCTATAAGACAACACCAGGAGTATAAGAGGACCCCCTGACTTTTGAGAAGATTTTCCTCGGTTAAATGGAATCTTATACACCAGAAAATACGGTAGTTTTACAGTTTTAGCTTTCTCTGCTGGTGCCTCACCCAATTACAACTACCATGGTTTAATAGCATTGGGCTAGGGCAGTTAAAGTGGAATCAAACTGCATTAATTCTCTAGTGTAGATGCAGTCCATGAATGTCTTGGTGTCAGGATTGCTTGTTAACCATGTTATATTTCATTTTGCTTTGCAGTAATGGTTCAGTAGATTTAGTGAACCTGCTACTTTATGAAGTTGGTGGCAACATAAGTAAGTGAATTTGTAATACTGAACATTTATTCTCAACGGTGGGGAGTGTAAGGTCAAGTGGGTGAATAGCTGAGATTGCGTAGTTGAAAGCAGAAACTGTTGCAAGAATGATTCAGCTAGGAAGCAGTGGGTGTAGAAACCAATGTGGAGGTTGCTGAGCATTTACATGCCATCACAGTGCTAAGTCTTGATTTAAGCAAGTCTTTCTCTCGTTTCATTGACATTGAAACAGAATCTGGCAATCAGGCAATAACTCTGGCAATAAGATTAGTTTGTAGAAATGTGTCCCACATAGAAGAGTAGAAGTGCAAATTTGGAAAATTCAATAAAATTCAAAAGGTATGGGAAGAAACCTAAATCCAACATCATGATAGCAGGCAAGACTCTCTACTCATTTGCAGTTCTGAAGACTCAGACTTGCTCTTTAATTTCTCAATACTCTGAAGTAGGCTTTGAAAATATTTAGGGATGGTGGGGAAAACAATAATTCTTTTCTGCTCCTGCTGATGGAAGCAATTATTTAGCAGAGCAGTTCCATTGGATACCAACTATATTACTGTGTACCTTGTAGTTTTTGTAAATAATGAAATGATTCAGGTGTGTCTTTATATAAATAATTAGGATAATGTAGGTAAGAGTGATGAGATGGATTGTGCATGCTGCCTATCTAGATACAAAACAGATAGTTTTATCACTTTTCCAACTTCATTAAAATATATTTTCCTTTCTAACAGGTGAGCATTGCCTGGACCCAGACACATACCTCTTAGACTTGTACCATGTAAATCCTCATGCAGAATGGATTATAAGGCCAAACCCATCTTTTCCAAGAATGTTCTAGGAAGATTGCTCATAGGAAAACCCAACTAACTTGTTAAATAAATTGTCAGGAGATGGGATTTTCAAGCATAATCTGTGTCTCGGTATTTTATTAATGAGTGAACAGACAATGGAAGAAGAAACAGTTTGTTTTCAATATTCCTATGGACAAATTAACCAGTGGGAGTTCCACAGAATATATATATGACTATTAATGAGAGTTGCCAGAAGACGAAATACTAAAAGAAAGAACAATTTCTGTCAAACTGGTATTGAGCTTTCATTCATTTATTGAAGATGCCTAAATTCTTCACACTGGAAGGAGGTGAATCCAGAATTGCAACTTGCTGCAGTTGAACAACTTTATAAAAGGAAGCAACTTTCTTGGATGGATAGGGTGTTTTTTATTATTATTATTTCTAGAAAACACAACTGATAAATTACTCAGAGTGTCAGGAGAATAAGAAGGAAACCATAATGGGAGTTTCTACCTTTAAATATCACAGTCTAATCAGACTAGTGGTGAGATATTATCTATGCACAAGTGTATGCATTGAATGTCTTCGGTGAAGCATTCTAACATTATAGTCCAATATATAAATTGTTTTTGTAAGCATGCAGAGTTTTTCTGTGATCTTTTCAAAAATGTAATGTGCTCTGAGAGCACCTTTCTACTTGGCTACACTAAACCACTTCAGTATTATGCTTTAATTACTATTTTCTAATTTTCAAAGTAGATTTACTATCCCGATCCGGTAGTAATAATTCCCTCCTAGCCAGAAAATTCAACTAAGGACTTATCTTCCTTCTCCATGCTCATACATCAGTTGTTCTGTCAAAGACAATCCTTAAACACCTGAGCCATATAGATTTTTTAATTTTCTTGTCTTTATTTGTTTTTTAATGCTATTGTTTTTTTAAAACTGTGTTTGTAGGTATATTTACCAAAAGCCTGTTGAATGTGTGCAGATTTTTTTTGAACAAAATTCTTACCTATACGTGGAGATTCTTGTGATAACCTCTGTTTTTTTTTTCTAAAAAAGAAACAAGCTGAAATAGCCATCTAACTTTCAAGAATGCTTTCCTCCCTTTCCACTTGTAATTGGACAGGACCCTTTCTTTCTTGTTTTTGAATTCAGGAACAAATAGAGACATTTAAAAGGGGTGTGTTATTTTGCCTGCTTGCAGACTAGAGCATCTGGGAAGGCTGCACTCCTATGCAAAAAGTCCTCACTATCAAAGATCCCAGCAGAACAAAATATAAACAATTTGTTCAAGTAGATACTACAGGAAGGTTGCATTCATTTTGATATAAAAGGATGTAAAAGAATATATTTGTGTTAACTTGCCATGAATGAATTTTGTAAGGTATCATCTATCTCCTGTGAAACAGACTGTCTAGACCAGGCAAGGGCAAACTTCATCCCTCCATGTGTTTTGGACTTCAACTCCTACAATCCCCAACAGCCTCAGGCCCTTTCATTTCCCTCCTCAGCCGCTTAAGCAGCTGAGGGGAAAAAGGAAGGGGCCTGAGGCTGTTAGGAATTGTGGGAGTTGAAGTCCAAAACACCTGGAGGGACGAAGTTTGCCCAAACCTGGACTAGAAGTTGCAACATGGGGAGCATACACATTTTTCGGGGGGGGGGGGGGGGTTGCATCCAGTATTCAGAGTAAGGAACCTGTCACACTACATAGTTATCACACTATGGTTCTGTTTTAACTGTGATGGCTGCATCCTATGGAATTCTGGAGTTTGTAGTTTGGCAAGACACTAATGCTTTCTGGCTGATAATTCTAAATGTCTTTGCCTTAACATGCAAATTCCAGGATCCCATAGCAGTTAATGCAGAATCATAGTGTTACTGTTGTGCTGTGTAAAAAGGGCCAAAGCAGCATTGTTTAAAAGTTTTTTTTGTATAATTGGGCCACAGTTTAATAAGAATTAGTATGATCATTATTTTTATTTTCCACTGAGAACATTTAGTTTTGTACTTGAGGCCAATCTGAATGGAAAGCAATAAGACTGAAAAGAAATTGCAGGATTAAGCTCTGCAAAAACAGTAACAAAATAATGTGGAGAATCATATTGGGGAAACATACCTTATAAGATATAACAGACTAACATTTGAGGAGTAAACATCTCAACTCTGATTGTAATGTCAATCTTCTTTCAAATGTTTTTGATGTCCTTTATCTCTTGTTGACAGCAGTTAAAGCAGTGAGTCATAAAATGGTCTTTTGTTCTTGTTTTCATATGTGTGTGTTTTAATTATGAATTATATTAATATTTTAATGCTGTATTTAAAACAGTCAATAAAGAAATGGACATATTTTCAAAACCATTTTCACCCTCTCACACACACTATATTTTGTCAGTTGTTTGATTTTTTCCACACACACACACACACACAAAACAGTGGGTGGAGGTGACTTGAACTATGAAACAAGATGGAAGAAATCATGGATACTGGGGGACACCTGTTCAACCTCACAACCATTAACTTGTGGGGCTCTGCAGAGTTCTATACTGTCCCCCATGGTGTTTAACAATTACATGAAGCCGCTGGGAGAGATCAACCAGAGTTTTGGGGTTAGATGTCATCTGTACACTGATGTTGTTTAGCTCTATCACTCCTTTCCATTTGTTACTAAGGTGGCTGTGCAGGTCCTGAACTGGTGCTTGGCTGCTGTGCCGGTCTGGATGAGGGCAAACAAATTGAAACAAGACAGAGGTACTCCTGGTCAGTTGAAAGGCCAAACAGGGCATAGGGTTACAGCCTGTGTTGGATGGGGCTACACTCCCCCTGAAGATGCAGGTTCGCAGCTTGGGAGTGATCCTGGATTCATCGCTGAGCCTGGAACCCCAGGTCTTGGTGGTGGGKAGGATAGCTTTTGCACAATTAAAACTTGTGTACCATCTGCACCCGTACTTTGGGAAATCTGACTTGGCCACAGTGGTCCAGACTCTAGTTACATCCCAACTAGACTACTGCAATGCACTCTARYTGGGGCTGCCTTTGAAGACTGCCCGYAAGCTTCAACTAGTCCAATGGTCGGCAGCCAGGTTGCCATTAACTTCTGAGCTGCCAATCAGCTTCCGAGCARAATTCAAAGTYCTGGTTTTAGCCTTTAAAATCCTAAACGYTTCTGGGCCAGACTACCTGTCCGAACATATCTCCTGTTACAAACCATCACGAAATTTAAGATCATCTGGAGAGGCCCTGCTCTCAATCCCACCACCATCACAAACATGACTGGTGGGGATGAGGGGCAGGCCCTTCTCAGCAGTGGCCCCCCATCTGTGAAACACTCTCCCCAGGGACATCAGACTGACCACATCCCTCCTGACCTTTAGAAGGAAACGTAAGACTTGGCTATAGGACCAAGCGTTCGACCAGTGAATGGCAGCAAGTGAAAGAAGACTTAAGAAACTCGTGACAATGAATTGACCCGGACTTGGATTTTGGATTCTAATTTTTAATAGGCATGTTTTAATCTATTGTTTTAATTATTATTGTTTTAATTATTGTTTTAATATTTTATTAAATTATTTATTATTTAATTATTGTTTTAGTATTTTAATGTATTGTTGAATGTTTTATAATGCCGGCATCATATGGTGCTTGTGTGAGGCCGCCCTGAATCCCTCCCCCTCGGGGGTGAGAAGGGCGGGGTATAAATATAGGAAATAAAAAAATAAATAGTTCCAGGACCCCCATGGATACCAAAATATGTGGATGCTCAAGTATTATTATATTCAATGCTATAGTAAATGACATCCTTTAGACAAAATCATACTTTATTTTTTGGATTTAAAAAATATTTTCAAGCTATGCATGATTGAATCCATGGATAAAGAGAGCTTTTTTGTGTCAGGAGTGACTTGAGAAACTGCATGTCACTTCTGGTGTGAGAAAATTGGCCGTCTGTAAGGACGTTGCCCAGGGGACGCTTGGATGTTTTACCATCCTGTGGGAGGCTTCTCTCATGTCCCCACATGAGAAGCTGGATCTGACAGATGGGAGCTCATCCTGCTCGTCAGATTCAAACCACCAACCATTTGATCAGCAGTTCAGCCACTACAAGGGTTTAACCCATTGTCCACCGGGGGCTTCAATACAGAGAGCTGACTATATTTTATGGGGGAAAAGTAATTATGGCCACTCTTACATGGCAGAAACGTTTAGCTCAGTGAATATATAAAAATATGTTAAAAAATGGTTTGTTTAAATGTAATTAGGCTGCTCCTGTCTTTATTTTTAATTGTTTTAAATTATTTTATTGTATTTTCACAACTTTATTTTTTAAAATTTAAATCCCTTGACCTTATAGGACAGCTAACAACCAGGACACACAGGAAAAACATAAAAACCCTCAAGCACTTGGAAAGTAGCAAGTTTCATAACAGAAAATTCAACAGAGTAATTAAAAACTGAAGGACTGAAACAATATCTTATAACTTAAGACCAGTTCAGATAAAAGAATTAGAAGATCAGTACAGGCTGCACTGAAAAAATAATAATAGAGAAATTACTTTGATGGGCATACAACCAAGAGGAGGTAGGGCAATGTATATTTCTGTGCAAAGTAATTACCTGAGAGAATGTTTCTTGGCAAAGTGAAATAAAGCACTGTTCTTCCAAAGAAGGCTTTCCCAAGGGAATCTGCTAATTTACAAAGCAACAAATAGTGCTAAATACTCTTTCCATCCCTAGTTAACAACAAGCAAGAAAGGAACCCTTTGGCTAGTATCAGTTTGTAACCTAACCGCTTTATTTTGGACTAAATGAAATTTCCCAGAATTCTGCTAAGGCAGCGTAAGTGCGACAGTACAACTGGAGATTACCAGTGGATATTTGGGTTATCTCTGTGAAGCAGATATTGCACGTGGCATCTCTCAGTCCTCTGTCTAATTGGCATCAGTCAGCACTCCCAGACTGTGAAATGCATAATGAAAAAATGCAATCACATCCAGAATAGGATGAATAATACTTCCTTCTTTTACAGTCTCTTCTATTCTTGTAGATCCATCCTCAACTGATCTCAGGCATATTTTCATGGTTTCTCTTGACTCTAATAAGTATAACTAGATCGTAAGTGTCATTGGTGTATTCTTGGCACTTCAAAATTTAGATGTCACTTGGTAATTCTGTGTAGATGTTAAGACAGATAGAAAAAACAATAGTGTCTCATTTATTTATTTTTAGCATAAATATTTCCAAACCATACAGGAGTTGTCCTCCTTCGAAGCTAGGTAACTGGCTGTAACCCCTTTGGCTCCTATGACCTTACATGGCCAACTGAGGTCACTTAATGATATTCAAAGTTCCAACTTCTTTCCCTTAGTTTCTAATTTCTCCAGTCTCCACCTTTC